AGAAATCTGGGTAAATCTTCCTGGGTGTAACCATGCCTTTTATACTGAATGAAAGAGTGGCTCTCCACATGCTAACATCTTAGAACTGAATGTGTGTCGAAGCCTTCATGCATGTAGCGTGTTGGGAACAGAGTTTCATGGTGATGGGAACTATATAACTTACATGTGTATGGGGAAGCCTTCACTCCAACAGGCTTTTCCTGCGCAAACTGCCGTTATTTCGAAATTGGCTCTTGCTGAGAAATCTTGGTAAGTGTTCCTAGGTGTAACCATGCCCATTATGCTGGATGAAAGAGCGGCTTTATACTTGTTCACATCTCAGAAATGAATGTGTGTTGAAGCCATCATTCATGTAGCATGTTGGGAACACAGTTTCGTGGTGAGAAGAACTATGTAAATTACATGTCTATGATAAAGCACTCGCTCGAACTGGGTATTCCAGCGCATATTGCCTTTATTTCGAAACTGGCTTCTCAGGAGACCTGTGGTCTCCACTGCAGGTCTGGCTCCAAGCCCAGGGCCAGCATGGTGACTCTGCTCCCCCTGCATATTCTAGGAGGTCTAGGTGTCCTCCATGGCCCTTCCACCATTGTTTCTTTTGGAAACACCCCGCAGATGAAATGGGCCTGAGAACAGGAGAGCTGGATGCCAACAGCCACTGCCCAGTGTGTGGCTCCTGGGAGGGGCATCTCCTCTCCATGGGCTCTCATCTCCCCTCTCCTCTCCCCCACCCCCACCCCCTCCTCCTGCATTTCCTGATTGATCCCTGGATAATGGTCCATACCAGGAATGACCTGGGAGAGGTTTTATGAGCCTTTAAGGGAAAAAAAAAGAAATCTTTAGACAAATTACTGAAAGTAACTTCCAGCTTTCCCGGGAAAGTCCTCTTTCCAATGTTTAAGGCTAGTTGACAGGGTGTCAAATTGCCTAACCACTCATATCTGAGCTAGTGCTGCCTCTCTCTCCAGCTCCCCATAGCATCCACCTGTGGCAACTTGGCCACAAGAGGGCAAGAAAGCTCTTTCTCCACGCCAGCGCCAGCGCCAGCATGGCTTTGGAGGCAGTGGAGGCTGAGAGAAAAGGCCCCGCCCTGAGGTTTGGGGGACCTCCAGCCACAGCCAGAGGAGCGGGGGTTTTCAGAGTGGCCCAGCAGGGAAACCAGTCAAGGCCGCCTGGCCCAAGTCTTCCCTGCCCAGACAGCCCATGAACTGCTTTGGGTCCACTCCCCATTTGGGCCCTCTGCAAAAAGGTACCACGGGATCCACACCTGAGAAGGCAGAAGGACGGCCTAGAGTCCCAGCAGGTGTGTCCTGTGAGACCTGTGGCCACATATCTTCCTTGTCTCTTCAGGTCACTGAAGGGTCTGTGCTGGGCACCTTGGTGGTCAGGGACATGGGAACAACTCTAAACTCTGAAGAAAGACGGAGAGACTCTTCCTAGAAGCAAGGCTTCCAGGGAGACGCCTTGCCCAGAACTGGGGGACTGTGTCCTGAGTAGACCCCTGGGAGGCAATGTGGGGCTGTGGGGTCCTCTTCAGGGAAGTGAGCAGGTGTGCTTTCCGGGGGTGGGGTCCTGCTTTGTCCAGTCATGTCCTTGTGTAAGACTCATTTACAAACACCTCCCAGTCCACCTAGGGGTGGCCCCAGGGGTAGAGGAGGAGAGTGAAGGGTGCAGACTTAGGGCCCTCTGACCCACACAGGGAGCCAAGGGTCAGTGGGAATATCTTGGGAGTCTAGTGAAGGGGTGGAGGACGAGCACTAAGAACATGCCAAGTCATGCAATTAAGTGACCCGTGACCACGAGACACAGGTGGCTGTACACCATTGGAGGGAGGTAGAAATTTAGACCCAGGCTCTGAGAATCTTGAGAGGGGCTGGGAGGTCCCAGGAGCCTTCAGGAACAGCTCTTCTAGGGGCACAGATATCCCAATACACACATTTCTCATGGATGCTTTTTGGGGTGCAGAGTGAGTTACCAGGATCCTGAACTTAGTTTAGAATCCCACCTTCTTGTTCATCACGGTCCCTGGCAATAAATTGCTGTCATTTGTCCCTGGACATGCACAGGGGAGCTGACTGCTGTGGGGGTCACTGCAGGACTAGAATCTTCTGGTGTGGATTCTGTGAGCACAGAAACCCAGGGGGATTTTTTAACGGGAGCATCTGGAGACCATGCCTGCCAGGACCACCCTCATGGGATGGCCAAGGAGCCCGTGGTGCCCAGGTCACCAAGTGACGAATTTGTGAGTTTGCCTCAGGTATCCTGGAGGCATGTAGATTTCTGTGGTCAGCACATGGGCCCAGCACTGCGGGATGGTCTACACAAAGAGGGTCCTGCCCTCCTGATGATGACTCCTAACACCTGCAGGGAAACTGCTCCCAGGGCTCCTCGGGGTCCATACTGAGAATGTCCTGCCAGCCATGTGGGGTCACCTTACCCTGATGCAGAGGCAGACTTCTCCCCCTTGAGGCCCAGGGGACACCTGGCTCAGGTCCCACCTCTGTGCCCTGGACACGCAGAGCCCCAGAGCTCTGGCACAGACTGGGTTGTGGTCGTGTCGTGGTAGAGAAGGCCCAAGGAAGGGGCTCATTCAGGGGCAGAGGCCACTCTGCAGGGATGCTGGACCTGGCAGCAATGCACTGCTTCAGAACTCCCCTGGGCTGGGTTTCCAAGCTGTGGGATGGAAGAGCCTCTCCTTCCTGCGGTGCAGTGGGGGGAAGTAGATCCATCATCAATGTCAGCCCTGAAAATGGAGGCTGCGCTGCATCCATTCCTGGAAAGAAAAATCAGGCCCCTCCAGTCCAGGTGACTCAGAAAATCATTCAGTAATGTTCGGGGTCCCCACTTTAGGCTTTGAATTAGAGCTTAGCAGCTAAGGAGGCCAGATCCCTGTCTGTGGCTCCAGGAGTAGGCTTTCTGCTGGGGGACAGGATCCTCACAAACACCTGTGTCTTTGTGGGACACTCCCCTCTGACCAGCTGGGAGGCATTGTGCGGTTGTGGGAAATCGTGTTTCCATGATCAGAGGGCCACCAAGTGGTGGGGGCACAGGAGACTGTGAGAATGAGTCTCACAGCCTTTCTGGAATCAAAAAAAGGGCAAATGTGAAAAAGTGCATAATTTGTTTTATTGAACAGGCTGTTTATGTACGTTTGGAGGGCCAGGTTCAAGGACTCTGCATCCCTCGAGGACAATAGCCTCAAGAGAAGAACAGATAGAGCAGGAGGAGATCTGGGGTTTCTCCCAGGAATGAAGCAGAACAGGGATGTCTGCAGATTTGCAAGGAGACCCGAGCACTGAGCACGGGGTTACAATCCCACGTGATCCCTGTTGTGTTTGGCTTGGGCTCTGGGTCTGGCCTGATCATGCATTCTTCCAGCTGATTTCCAGAAACTCAGAGGGTAGATTTAGAGGGGCTGCGTTTGGAACCTAGTGAGGAGGTGGAGGGTGCTTTATATTGAGTCCTTTCAGCCTAATCACGTAGCTGAAGCCCGACACCCCCCAGGCCCCCAGGGTGGCCGTGGAGGGAGAGCAAGCCTGGCAGGCGACCTAGGGGTCCCACTGCTGTGTCCCTCCCTTGTCTTCATTCCCTTTCACCATGGAAGGTGTGATTGTCTCGTGTCATGGTGACCACCGCAGTGACCCTCCCAGGAATCTCTCTTCTCCACCAGGTGGGGTTCCCACCCCCGCTCAGCCTTCTCTCTACATGGATGCTGAAGGACCAGGCCCACCTGAAGTTCTGAGCTTGAGCAGTAAGGTGGAAACAAAGAAACCAATGGAAACAAAGAAGCAAGTGATTGTGGCAAAGCTCCCCACCACAGAGAAGCTGCCCTGAGTGGAAGGGAGGGTGTGGGCATGCCCATTTGTTTCCCATCTCACAGTGCTCTTAGCTATCTTATTGCAGACCTGCATGGTTACAACAAAATGATCTGCAAAACTGAAAATATTTACTCTCTCGTTTTTACAGAAAAGGCTGGCCAGCCTCTGATCCCGGTACCGGTCAAGTGATTGGAGTTCCTTTACAGTTTGGAAACATCTGGGCAGGCCCAGGTTTGCAAAATTTTTTAAGAGTAGTTACGGAGTTTTGCTT